ACTGGCAAACACTTCACACCCGTCACTCTGGTACTTTACAGACATCGTAATCAAAGACCACAAGAACAGAATATGCTTTCTAATTGACATGGCATTTCCTGCAGACTAATGTATCTTTGGACATTTTAAAAAAAATCTATCAAAATATAAGGACCTTGAAATTGAAATCTCAAAAATATGGCATTTAATGACATCAATAATTCCAGTTGTACTTGGATCCCTCAGGTTAATTGGAAAAGGTTCCAATAAACTCATAGAATGGATCCCTGGTAGTCCAAGCCTTAAAGAAATGCAAAAAAATATACTCACAAGTACAGCTCGCACCTTCCAAAGGGTTTTATCTATGTAAAATGTGTATGATCTCAAGTTGTCTTTTTATTTATTTTTAAAAAAATGCTCGATGGCAAATGTCATGATGCCATTTTTGCACTTAGGTCTCTGGTAGAGATCCCCCCCCCAAATAAGTATATACCAAAAATCAAAGGAAATAAAATAATAATAATAATAGTAATAATAATTTCTTGCAGACTCTAATGTATCTTTGAAGATCTTAAAAAATATCAAATACAAGGATTTCGAAGTGAAAATCTCAAGAAATGTGCCACACGAAGACCTTAATAATTCCATTTGTGTTTGGGGCCCTGGGTTTGATTGGAAAACATTCTAATAGAGTCATTGAAGGAATCCCTGGTAGCCCATGCCTTAAAGAAATAGAAAAAATTGTTCTCACAAGTACAGCTCATGAAGGTCTTTATTATAAAATGTGTATGATCTTAGGATGTTTTATTTTTTGTAATAAAAATATTGAGTGAAAAATATCTTGATGCCATTCCTGACCATAAGTCTCTGTCTGTTTGAGTCCCAGAAGGAAAGGAGTTATTATGGTCAGCATTGGAAAAAAGGAGCAAGGCAGAAATTTGGGGTTTGCATGTTCTTGCATTATTTACATTATTCGGACTGTTATCCCCATTTTCATTGCTATATACACGTTTCAGCTGTTGCATTATTCAGCCTTCTTCAGGTAACTAGAATTTTAAACCAAACCCTTTATTTCATCCACCAGGGTATATTGTTCTAGTTCCACGTGTCATGCCTCATCTGGATGTGTCAGTTATTTCCCTTTAACACTACTCTCCATGTTTGATTCACCATTGCTGTGCCCTGGTATTGAACTCACAACTCTTTGGGTCTAGTCACTGGGCTGAAATATTGTGAATATGGCAATAAAGATGAGGATAACAGTCCAAATAATGTTGTAACACCTATCCTGACCCCACTGGATAGATGTACTCTACAAGACTGGCCGTTGGTCCTGTTCTGATCCTGTATTACAGGTTCAATCAAAATCTCTGGTTCCCAATGTTGATTCGATTCCACTTTCCAGTCACGTTGTGATTTTTTTGATCTTGGAGAGCAATTAACAAATCATAGATCCCAGAAGATTCAGCTGGTCTACCTGCAAGTTCATTGGGGCAAGAATCAGACCAAGCAGAAAAAGAAAATATGAACAAGTCAGTTCGAGTCCAAAGAAAAAATTATGTATATACATATAAGGAAGAAATTGGTACAAAACGAATAATGCTTCTTTTACAAGAAAGTAGTCTATATGAAATAAAGTCCAGAAAAAAATATTGCAAATAATTCTGAAAGGAGAGAAGTAGTTTTCGGGTTCACCATTTTTGTTCTTAGTAGTGGCCGTAATTATTTCACTATCAGAATAGGGGTGGGGGTCACTGGCAGTATTGTGCCAATATTGCAGATAACATAAGTTCACTTCCTCCCTTATTACAGCAGCAAGCGGATGCTTTCACTCTCACTGCCTATCTCTCTCTTCCTCTGGTTGACTGCTTGTCAACTCACTTCATCCAGGTCCAATTCCAACTTCAACTCGACTTCCACTCCGACTGTTTTTGCACAAACACATGCTTAAATAAACGTGGTGGTAGCGATAAAATCCCGGAGTGTTAGTAAACTTAGAATGCAACCTGATTAATGACCTCTCCCCTTTCATGATTAAATGAACAGTCTCTTCTTCTCAATTGGTATTCCATACTTCATATAAATACTATTGTTTTGACATTTTATATTAATAATTCTGACAAAGCACAGATTCTCTGGGCACAAACTTCACCACAGATTATTTTTCTCATCTATAAACAAAATTCTATATTACTATAATTATTAATATTTCAAGGGTGACCATTGCTCTCTGCCACAATGTGAATAATGCAAATAATCCTAATACATGTTCTCTGAGTTATAGGCAGATATTACATGTTCTTGTTGTTGTTGTTGCATCCTTCGGTATCTGTTGGTAAAGGTTTTTCCTTCTTCTGCAATCAATAATATGAAATTGAGATTACTACCGAGTTAGATAATTGTTTTGTTTGTTTTGTTTTGTTTTACGGCATATCAACCTCAATGGGCTATTTAATGCTGACAACTTTTTTCTTCATAATATTTTGTTTTGTCAAAAATCTATTACTGGTAATATTTTTTTCCTTAAAAATGTATAGCTGGTAATATTTTTTTTTTTCAAAAATGTATTGCTGGTAATATTTTTTTTTTCAAGAACGTATTGCTGGTAATATTTTTTAAAAAAAAATATATTTCTGGTAATAGTTTTTTCTTCAAAAATTTATTTCTGGTAATAATTCTTTTACAAAGTATTTCTGATATTAAAACTATTTGTTACACTTTCATAGTGATTTTTACCTGAGTTTTGGGGTTAACTATTTGCCCATAGCTGGGACCCTAACAGATGCTACCACTTCAGGTCAGAGTGGACCTGAGAACACCAGCAATTAAGAGGTGGTTCCATGCTCCTCAAAGCCTCCTGATCAGAGGCCTTGCTGTTAGACGTAGTTTATCACCTTACCCTGGATGTGGATGTAGTTTATCGTTATACCCAGGACAGCCAAGTTACATAAATACAGCATTTATTACAATAGTGAATATGTAATAGGAGATTGATGATTTGATGACTTAGCTTAAAGACCAACCGGATTCGTGGTTGGGCAGGTGAAAGGTTGTAGAAATAAAGTTCATAGTGTTTTCATAGGATATTCTTGTAGTGTGAAATCTACAAAGATAGGAGATGTTTGTTGGAATGACGAAGAGTCATGCGGTTTGTGAAGTGCCTTCTTGGAATGTTCCTCTTTGGGCTGTCTAGATGGGTCAAATTTTTTATACCTGACAATTTGCTCCTAGAGATTTGGATTTTAGCTGGAAGATGTTTCATTGGTTAGTGGTAACCATTGAGAATGTTGTGTTTAATGTGGTAGTTGTTTTAGTGTCTGTTGCTATGTGGAGACATAGTAAAGTAATGGATAGCAGCTTGGATTGGGGAATCAGAGAGCCAGGTTTAAATTCCAGTCAAATTCATTACATTCAATTACCTTTGGGAAAGGTACGAATCCTCTTCTTCCACCCCCCCCAGCTATGGGTAAATAGCAGGACAGATCGGGTTCTTTAGTCTTGGATGGTAACTGGTCTAATGCAGAAAGAAATGGCAACCTACTGTGGGAAAAAAATCTACCTTGTCAGTCATGTATCAAAAGATACATGATCACTTAAGCATGTATCATGCATGGTACATAACTGACTGACTGCTATGTGGAAATCATGCTGATTGAAAGGTGAATAAAGAGGTATAGTGGAAGGGGTAGGGGACAACAATATAAAATAGAGGTCAAAGGAAATAATAATAATAATAATGGTCTGCATAGTTTCTGACTTTAATTGATTGTGGTGTTAACATATACATAATTTATTTTGGTGAATTACGATGAGCTAAAATAAACATCCTGTTCAGTGACACAGATCTGCTTGGCAGTTACTTGATCATAACCAGTTGGTCATGACGCCTAGGTACTCTCACACTGCATTTCTATTTCTGAGCAGAATTAGTGGAGGAGTATAATATTGTAATGACAAAAAGTATGCGTAGATGTAGGCTTTAAAGAAAGCTTTATTCCACTGAGAATACAGGGTTTGCATATAGTGTCCTTTTATAGTCCCAGTAAACAGAAATAGCTCTCTCAAAGAGTAGATTAACAAAACAAGGGGAGACCACGGTTGATTATTAGTATGAAGTTTTTTTTTTTTTAAGTTTGAAAGATGTGGCCACCAAGGCGACTTGGGAGATATATCTAAATACTCTACTGTTGATCAGAGGTCTCGTCATATATTACTATCGATTAAGCACTCCTGATTACGAATTTAAGTTTTTTTTTTTTTTTCATTTTTAGAAATTATGTTGGATGAACATATTTTGTTTTGGCTTCCTTATCAATTTGCAATTAATTTTCATAGAAAACTTTAAAAAATTCAATATTCTCTTTTATTCCTGATCTGGATTGGAGTGTTTAAATATGAAAAAAAAAAAGAAAATGAAAAAATATTTCTGGTCGCAATGCCTGTAAAACTCGTCATCATTATCAACACCATCATCATGCTCAGGCCTTTTTTTAACATTATGCAAGCATCGTTATAACTTGAATAAAGAATAAGTTATTCACGAGATTTGAATTAGCACTCCTTATCAATTGGAATCAGTCAATAATTAATAAGAAAAATACAATGCTTCGTCTCAAAATTTCCAACAATATTTTCATTAAAAAAAATTGTGTACAAACATTTTTAAGCGGAGTCGTGCTTAAAACAGCTTCCACTCTTTTTATTGTATTTACTCTTTTTTTTTTACAATAAACAAAAAAATTGATGTTGTAAAAATATACTTGAAATATTCTAAATGCATGTGTATAGCATAAATGTAAAATTAATTTAATCTTATTTTAACGCGATCCAAGAAAGTACGAAAGTGCGGCTTTCTATAAATTTTCATGTTAACTTGTAATACACGTGGTTTTCTGTTAGAAAGAAAACAGCTGAGATCACGACACTGCAAAATGTCTTGTGGTGCTGATAATAATAATAATAATAATAATACATTTCCAACTGGAGGCGAATCTAAAATTCCTGGTCCTGAGAATAATTCCATGTCGATTTCCAGTGATGAACAAGGTCAAAAAACACAAGATGCAAAGTCTGGTCTGTCAAAAAACCAACTCCGTAAATTGAAAAAAAGAGAAAAGTGGTTAGCTATTAAAGCTGATAAAAGGTAATTGTTAACAATTATATTAAAAATATGAAAATTAATTAATTAATTAATCAATAATATTTCTGTGATTTTTTTTAAAGAAATATGCGTATTTCTTTTTTTTGCAGTTAATGAAGAAGGCAATTTTTTTTTAGTTTAAAAAATAAATCTAAAATGAAAATGTTTTTTTTTATTATTTTATTTTAAAGATCATAAATTTTCTTACTTTTTTTTTTTTTTTAAATTGGCGTGATTGCCGTTTACCAAGCATTTTTTTCTACTATTAAAAATTAATCTGACCAAAACAAAGGAATGATTGTCAGGTCATTAACAGAACTTAAACGAAACAATTCAATTAAATAAAATTTCCTAAACAGTAAATGACATATTAGATACCTTCCAAAATTGTGTAAGGTTGCATCAGGAAAAAAATGTCCCAAAAAAGTAAAAAAAAAAAAACAAAGAAAAATTTTTTTATCAAAATTTTTTTTTTTCGAACCATCAAAATTTTGGTAAAATCATGTTTTTCTAGAGTCAAAGCAAGATCTTAAATTTGTGCGAGAAATTAGACGGACGGCATTTATACTAGCTCCTGTGAACGGCTCTTGATTGGGCCTTCATCACAATAGATAGCGGGGGGAGTAAATGCGATAGGCAGCAATAAACTAGAAGAACTCAAAATTGATACTGTAGCTGCATTTGAGTATTCCATTAAGTGTAACTTTTAAAAGTTCAACGAAGATGAGTTATTGAGAGTTGTGTCCCTTTAATTGAAAAAGTGTGATACACTGACATCGGCATTTATTTTTTCGGTGAAAAGCATTGATTTGGAAATTCTTGCAAAAATCAGATTATTTGCGGATTTTAATGAAATTTTCAGGATTATTCAGAAATGAATAAAAAATAGTTTTGAAACGTTTCTTTTTTTTTTTTTTTTAACATTCAGTTATCGAGAAAAACTTTTTTTGCAGCATATTAACTACTTAGGTCATCAAACGCCGAAATTTAATTTTCTTTCAGGCATTAGTAATGTTGTGGAAGTATGCTGATCGAGTGCTTAGGTGAAAAACATGTTTCTTTATATATTTATCCCACAATAAAAATGGCGGACTCCATATGTGAGTCCGGGTAATAAATGACAAAGTAACAACAAATAAACAAATGATAAGTATGTATTAACAAGTGGGGTAACTCCACAATACACCCCTACAGATGGGGAGAATTTTATTCTGCCCATATGTCTATAAATTTTGTGTATGTCTGATTTGTCCCTCTGAAAAGAAAAAGAGTCGAACAGTGTGGTTGGCATGCATGTCTAAACATGTTGGCGAAATGTCTGAAGTAGTGTGTCATCAGGGTGCTATATAATTCTCTTGTGGGTCAGAGTTGTAACACGCCCTGGAAGTTATGTCGATAGTGTAGAAAGACAGGTATCAGCAGTGGTTATTAAAATTTTGTTTTTCAATGCTCCAAGATGAATTGATTTTGTTTGGAAGGACTTGTTTGTTTGCTGTGTGTGGATGATGTTGGCACACAATGTTGCAGGTTTTTGTGTATGTCTATGTACTAGGGTATTTATTTGTAATTATATACAAATTGTGGCACAAGGCCGAAAGGGGGGGTAGGGCTGGTCTTCACTAACTATCTTATACCTAGCTAATCAGATTCACGACCCATTCATACGTTACAATTAACCCATTCACCACAAGGACTTGTCCATCACCACTCAATCCTTCATGCACCATAATACCAGATTCTCACAAGGGGACCTCTAAAACGCCCCAATCCATAAAAATTTGATGATACATAAAATGCTATACATAAAATTCTAATAATGATAGGATGCAAGGGAAGGAGATGAACCCAATAATAACTAAAAATAAACACAACATTCAAACTAAACATAACATATGTTAGTAGGGACCGTCCAACCCTCAAAACAGAGGGCGCTGTATTCTGCCCAAAGGGCAGAATCAAGAAAAGCGCTCTCGCTAAAGGAGGGGAAAGGATAAAATATTATGCGAATGGGTAATATAAAACTGACCCAGTCAAGATAAAAAGAGGACCAAAACAAACTGGGGAGGTTGGGAATCTCGACTTGGACCATAACCAAAGAGCAGCCGGGATACAGGCCAGGAACAACACTTACTCACATTAACTAGGTACACTGAAGCTTGTCTAACCCTAACCAAGGGAGGGTTCCACAGGAAGCCACCCCGATGTGCTAAGGTTGACTTAAAAAAAGAAAATCAAGGCTAGCCCCGGTCACACGAACCAGGCTTGCTACTTTTACCCACCTTTAAGCTGAAGACTGTCGAATGCAATCGTTTTCTATCAGATCTAATCTTCATCTTGAGCTGATGCTCAAAGAATTGGATTAGATGCTGATAAGAAAGACGGTTGCCCATAAAGACTTCCTCCATTCGCGTCGTCCAAATCACCATTCGAGCCGTGGCCATCAGCATCAGAAACACCATTCGTTTCTCCCGGAATCTGGGGCGACACATTGTCCTGCGTATGCGCGATCCATGGACACTAGCTGTTCGGGGCGGAGGCGAGCCGTCAGCTCGCCGACATGGTCCCATAAGGGGGCGGACCGGGGCAATGGTAGAAGGCGTGCGCCTTCGTTTCTTCTAAACCAAGACCACACCGTTCACAGTCTGGCAAATCCGCCAAACCCCATATGAAAGCCTTGTCATTGAGAGGCAGCGATTCGAGCCAATCGCCAGGTAAGCGAAAACTCAGGGTTACTGAGGTAATCCGCCGCTGGCGCTAAGACCAATAGGAGCGATACTCCTCCTCCGACAAGCGGCGTATCACGTAGTTTATCCTTCCGCAACCCTCCACTAAACCACGATAGAAGACCTTCCCTGGCCGTGAAAGGTCACTGGACGGGGAATGGCCTTCAAGGCCAACCGACACTCGTGGATGAAATCCGACTCATCCCGGAGCCTACAACGGCGCTCGCCCCTCGAGATGGGGGGACTGATAGTAAGGCTAGGGAAGGCGTCCCTAACAATCCCCTCCAGAATCGGATCTCCCTAGTCAATGCGCGGCGTGGGAAAGCCAACCTAGAGGCACGGATGTGACTCATAAGGTCTGGCATTCCCAGCCCCCATGACACGGACGTTTGGTGCAGACTCGTCTGTCGACCCTGTTCACGCGTCCCCTCCATAAAATGGAGGATAGCGATCGCTCGACACCTTCCTGCGGTCTTTACAGAGAGGAAATGTACGGACAACCCGATAAAGAATCAGGGGAAAATGTATGTAACACACACCTCCGCCCTGCCCTTCACGGACAACCGCCGTCGATTCCAAGTCTGACCGGCAGAATCGACCTTTGCACGTGCTTCAGACCAATTCTTCTCCATCTGGAGGTCAGGCCCAAACCACACTCCAAGAATGCGGACAGGACCGTCCGTCCAACCGGCGGCCCGGAAGATCGACCCCCTTCCAGGCACCCTAACCGCCCAAGCAGACGACTTTGTCGCGGTTTATCTTAGCCCCTGTCACCTTCTCGTACCCGATCAAGCGCCTTCTGTACCGCCTCAATGTCGCTGGGGGCGACACGAAAGCAGATACGTCATCGGCGTCGCGGAAACCCTGGCTCGAGACCCTCCAGGCACGGCAATTCCATCGTAGGGCCGGACTGCCGGTCTCGTCCTTCAGCCGGCGAAGGAGAGGCTCCAACGCCAAAAGCATAAAGGAGAGGCGACAGCGGACAACCCTGACGAACCGACCTAGACAGCACGAAAAGCGTCCGACAACCTTCCGTTCACCTGTACCACAGCACTGGGGGAGCGATACAGGAGGCTAATCCAGCGGCAGAAGTTGGGTGCGAATCCAGCGGCCTGCAGGACAGTAGCAAAGTAGCGATGGTCAACCCTATCAAATGCCTTGGACTGATCCAAATTGATCAGCGCGGCTTCTTCGTCGTCTTTTACACCCTCTATGATCGTGCGGATCAGATGCAGGTTGCTCTGAATTGTTCGGCCCCTCACAGAACAAGTCTGCTCAGGTCCCAACAGAGACTCGGCAACTGACTGCAAACGCTCCTGCAGGATCTTGGCCATAATCTTTAACTCTGTGTTTAGCAGAGTTAGTGTATGTCTATGTACTAGTGAGCCAATCCAAATGACTTGACTCACTTTATAGTCCACCAATAGAAGGTTAACCAATCAGAAGACGTAGAACATTCAATCCGTCGTGTATAAAGGCGGCCATTTTGTTTACTCTACCCGAATGTCCAGTGCCAGCTTATCAGGCGAAGAGAAACAGAAGGACGAACTACGCTCTGCTACTTTACCGGGATATCCACTGCTAACCTGGACAACGCTTTCCTACTGTCTTCGAAATATTCACTGCTAACCTCTGGATTCTATCCTCGAAGACGACCGCCATCATGAACAACACACAAAACTTTAATAGAAGCTTCGATTTGTAAAGTTGTTGAATGGTGTCAGTGAAATTTCTACTGAGTGTTGAATACATGTTTGCGAGAACTTTTAAAGATATCTAATATTATTGTTGATTTTTCTTGGAGATGAAGCTATCTCCATGTATTATTAAATCGTACTTGCAGATTTCTTAGTTTTATTTGTGTAAACATCTTTGAAGAGTGAAAAAGGTCAGTAAGTCTGGTTTGTAATTATTTTACACTTTATCTGTCGAGTGTAGGAGAAACCATGCTGTTTAAAGTTGAAAATGGAGTTGACTTCCATGTTGTTTTGAATGGTAATTTTGGAGAAAATAAACTGTGTGAAAAAAAAAAACGACTTTCATCTTGCACGTTTGAGGCACGCAGCCTCAAACGTGCAAGATGAAAGTCGTTTTTTTCCTTACGGTGAAATGTTTTTTTGTGATGCCTGCCAGTTGAAGTAAAGTCAAGCGTAATGGCCTGAAAGAAAGAAAGTGTCAAGCAAAAACCAGTAGGGATGAGGTGTTTGTGTCGTCTGCCTAATGACTGGACCAATATAGCAATAATTGCACTAGCAATTCTTTTTTTTTGCTGGGAGTCAC